GAAATCTGTGCTTCAATTTTTATTTTTTTATTTGTAATTTTTTTTTTTTTTGGTACTGGGGATCGAACTTGGGTCCTTGTGCTTGCGAGGCAGGTGGCAGAACCACTGAGCTAAATCCCTGGCCCTTTTATTTATAGTTTTTAAATTAAATTTTTTTTTTTTTGGTGCCAGGGATCGAACTCGGGACCTTGTGCTTTTGAGGCGGGTGGTGGAACCACTGAGCTAAATCCCCAGCCCTGTGCTTCAATTTTAAAAAATCTGTAAAGTAATAATAATAATACTCCCTCAAAGAGTTGTGGTAGGGCTTAATGATGTTGATGCCTGTGAAGCACTAATGTTACCAGGTAGCCTGCTTCTGAAAATGGCTTGACAATTTTGCTTGCCTCTCCTTCTGGAGTTGAATTCCAGGTTCTTCTCATCTCAAACAAAGGACTGAATGAGATGAGCAAATCGCAGAGACAAAGTTTATTTGAAAAAGTATAAGTGAAGAGTGAGGGAGAAACTGGCTCTGCCCTCCGAGTTTGGGCTAAGTAAAAGAGGAAGAAATGGGATAAAAGTGCACCCTGGAGGATGCAGGCCAGGATATCTCGAGGAAAGCCATGCTAGCAAGGTCTTTTTTATACTGTCCAAATCTTGAGGAAACCCAGAAGAACTTCTACATATGGGTCCCAAGACATGGTGCTGGGATTCCACACCTCAGGCTGACATCAGGTCTAGGCCATCCTATCGAAAATCTACTCTAGTCTTCAAGAGAAGTCCACTGCAGGGCTTTGGGAACTGTTCTGTGCATGTGTTCCGGGATCTTGTAATAAACAGGTCCTCAGCCAGCTTTGCTATGCCCTAATCTCCTGTCTCACTCCCTATCATCGCCCTCCTCAATCCTCCTCCTTTTCCTTCTCCTTTTTCTTTTCTCCTCCTTGTTCAGTTAGCAAATAGTCAGATTCCATTTGGAATGTTGCCCACATTTGGAAAAAACATTTGGAATGTTTTATTCTACTACATTGATGTTTCTGGGGGAATTTCTGCAGTTGATGTGTGTGCAATTCTATTTTCTGATTGCAGTAACTCTGCATGGATCTGTCAATATTTCCTTGTGCTGAGAGGTAAAGTCATTCATTTTCCAGATATGGAAACTGAGTCCCCAAATGGGAAAGTGGTTTGTCCAAGATTACAAAGACACTGGCTAACCCATTAATAGAATCCAGGGCTACTCACTACCAGTTCAAGACTTGCCCCACTCAGCAGAGACCAAGGACACTGACCTCAGATTCTGATATGTTATAAGTGCCCTCTAAGTTCTATTTATTTAGACTCAACCACCGTCATTCCAAATATTCTCCAATAGATGTCTTTGTTTCTAACAAAATTGCCAGTGCTGCAAGGGAAAGGGCTGTGACTTGATTATATTGGAACTTTTATTGTATGCCTAGTACTGAGCCTCAGACTCTTTTATCTCTCTCTCTTTCTCCCTTTCCTTCCTTCCTTATTTCTTCCCCCTCCTCTTTTTATTTTTTTCTTGAGACAGGGCCTAACTATAGCCTATGTAACCCAGGCTGACCTTGAACTTGCGATCCTCCTCCCTCAGCCTCCTGAGTCTAGAATTTCAGGCATGTACCAACATACCCCCTATGCTTTCCAGTGGATAAAAATAAAATTTTCTTTTTCATTACAGAACTATGAAATCAGTCACGTGAATTATGAAAACAAAAGTCATGGTTTTATTTGTTCTATGACAGTGTGGAAAATATGTATTTTCATCAAGCTAGAAAAAGAAAATAAAGAGAAATTATGACTATTTCAATATTGCTCGTAGAAATGTATCATTATCAATCCTGGAAGCCTGGTCCCACCCTGCCTGCAAACCTTTTATCTAATCTAGAGTTTTGAATGGAGAACAAAAAGATAAGCTATAAGACAATTAGGGTAGGTTGAGTTTCCTAACAGAGAAAGGCCCAGACCTCAAAAATACTTACTGGGTTTGTTAAGTTGAAAAACAGCCCTTTAAAGTTCTCTGGGACCTGTAAATGTTTATCCTATTTGGAAAAAGATTCTTTGAACATGTAATTATGAATCTCGAGATTATCATGTATTATCCAGGTGGGTCCCAAATGCAGTGAAAATGTCCTTAAAGGCGAGAAGCAAGCCAAGCATGGTGGCACATGCCTGTGATCTCAGCACTCAGGAGGCTGAGGCAGGAGGATTGCCTCAAGTTCAAGGACAGCTGAAACTGCAGTGAAGTCCTGTCTCAAAGCAACAACAACAACAACAACAACAAACAACAAACAAAGGAGAAGCAGAGGGAGATGAGATACATTCAAAGAGGAGGTGATGTGAAGACAGAGACAATATCCTACAAGCTGAGGGATGCCAGCATTAGAAGACTCTGGAAAGACAAGGAATGAATTCTCCCCTTGAGCCTTTGGAGGAGGAATGGACCTGCTAAAAACTTAATTTTGGCCCAGTGAAACTGATTTCAGGCTTCTGGCCTCTAAGAACAAGAGAATAAGTTTCTGTTGCTTTAAGCTAGCAAGCGGGTGGTGGTGATCTGTTATGTTGTAACAGGAAACTTATACAGTGCTCCTGGGTTGTTATCCAAGTCTCAGCTTACTGTGGGCCATTTGGCACCTCCAAGGAGAGTTCCCCAATTCATCCCAACATTTACTGAGTGGTTCTTCTCCCAGCATAATGAGGACCTTACACCCAATAGCTCACAACCGTATGGAGTATTAATATTATTCCTAATTTATAGATGGGAAAAAACAAGGGAGAGAAAAAGGGGAGCTGAAGATTGAACATGTATTTCTCTGGGATAAGTCAGGGATTTAATTCCCATATTAACTGATGGTACTTTGGAATACTTTTCTGAGATATTTTTGAGGATGCTGGACCAAAAGACACCAAACTTGGCTGCACACCACTCAAAAATCTGAGTTACCACTTCCACTGACTTTTTCAGAGAAGAAGATGAAGAGGATAGCCAGTTTCAGAGTCACAGAAAGCTAAAGTTAAAAGAATTATTTTACAGATGAGTGATACAGGAGATGGGGCCTGGCAAAGCTGTCTGGAAAAATGAGCGAGACCTGTCAATTACAAGATCCCAGGGCAACACTAGGACCCCTATGTAGAATTTCTCTTGAGCTCCGAGGAGATGTAGAAGGCCTAAAAGAAGACTGGACACCACAGGAAGCTTGCTACCCTGACTTCCCATCATAGCCCATGCTGTGTTTCCCAGATGCAGCAGGTACTTTTATTTTTGCTTTTATTTTATTTTTCTCTTGTTCTGCCCAAGTTTGCTCTGCACAGCTGGTTTCTGCCATACTCATTCACCCCTCACTTTTCAAATAAACATTTGGCACCATTTTTGGCTTGTTTCGTCCAATTCTTTGTTCGAGGAAAGATGGACCTGGAATATTTTTGATTAGTAAGCCATTTCTAAAGAAACTACCTGGAAAAGACTTGCTGCTTGGTCTGCTGCGCGGTTAGAGCCTATAAAAGCTGCCACGCCGAGTGACGAGGGAGTTCTGCCTTAGGAACAACGCCAGGTATGGCGTTGGCGTTTCGGGCGCAGCTCGGCGTTTCGGCGTTTTGGGAGTGAGGGCCATGCAAACCCGAGGCTTCAGCTCAGACAAGGATCATGAGAGTTCCTCCGGCTCGGCTCAATCCGGGACTCCGGTGGGGCCTTTGGGAAGAGAGAGCAGGCTGAAGAGGAGTGGTTCTTCCGACAGAAGACTAAGGAACAACAGGAAGCCTTGAAGAAACATCATGAAGATGAGATCTATCATCATGAAAAGGCGATTGAGCATATGGAGAAAGAAATTGAACAGCATAAGCAGAAGATCAAACAACTAAAACATGATGATTAAATGCATATATTCCCCATAGAATGGCATCTAACATTGCCCACTTCTATATAGGCATAACCTGGTATAATTAATATTTGGTCTGTGTGCTACCAAAAGATAATAAATTGTCATTGGTGAAAAAAAAAAAGATAAAGAAACTGATAATGAAGACTGGGCTCAGACAAGGGAAGGGGCTTGTCTTGGGTCATATACAAGTTGTACATGAAAGGCAGGGTTGTAACTGAAACCCAGATCTGACTTTAAATTCAGGTTGGGATCTACTGTACATTCACACTGACCAAAGTCATAGGTGTTTCTTTAGTCTAGCATGCAGACCAAACTCTAGGAACCTGCAAGGAGGGAAATGGAAAAATGGGTCTCAAACTTTCTCAAAGCTATTAATTCTCAAGGTCTTTATTCTCAAATGGGACACTGTAAGGTGCAACCAGTGAGGTGGTCCCAAGTATTGGGAGGAGCATTCTTCTCGGTTGGTGTGGAAACCAAAGGGACTATGATGATGTGACCGTAACCAAAAGTGAAATAGAAGATCATGTACTTACGAACTTTTAGAAGTGAGATTTCAGAAAACCTCAAGAGTGGCAGTTTTAGAAAAATAATTCTAAGTTGTTATATAATAAGGGAACTGGTTTGGGAAACTCAGTATCTCTAAGAATGATCAAACCTGAACATATTTCATCTTTTGTTTTTAGACAAGGCCTTGCTATGTAGTTCAGCCTGGCCCTGAACTCTCTATGTAGCCCATGCTGGCCTGGAACTCTATTCTAGACGATTCTCCTGCCTCATTGTAATCCCAAGTGCTGGGATTACAGGCATGCACCACCACACCGGGCCTTTTGTTTTTGTTTTATAGGGATTTTGTTTATTTCATACATTTTATATACGTTCATTCAACAAATATTGAGTCCCTGCTTATCCCTGCCGTAATAAAGTATTGGGAAAAAAACAAACTAGGTAATGCTTTTAAAGCGTTCTATGATGTTTTAGTATACAAGTACTCAATAAATCCTAACTGGTGTCATTAAAACATTAATTAATAACATTAGCAACAGCAGCCACTGTCTGTAAGACACGTTGATCGAGGCTTGGGCAACTATGTATCCCTAGACACGCTTCGCCACCCGTTGCATTCTGGGGCTTGTAGTCCGGAAGTGAATGACTGATTTCTCGGCGCGCAGGCGTAGTGGTGCGGATCCCCGGAAGAGCCAGCAGAAGTTAGTATGTGCGGGTGGTGGTGGTGGCGGCTGCCCCTGCTGCGGCGGCACTGACACGCTACGAGCTCTATGCCTTTCCGGCTGCTCGTCCCGCTCGGCCTCCTGTGCTCGCTGCTGCCCCTGCACCATGGTGCGCCAGGTCCTGATGGCACCGCGCCGGACCCCGCCCACTACAGGTGAAGGAGGCCAAGCTCTCGCCCTTCCGAGGTGGGGGAATGGGAAGCGCAGACGGGGTTTCTTATTTTTCCCTCCATACCAGGATCCCCAACCCGCGACCAGCGTACCGACTTGTTCAGGTCCTGCTGCCGGACCCTTGGCAGAAATCAGCTGGTGATTCCCTCTTTCCGCTCTATTTCTGGTCCTTTCTCCCGTCTCATTTTGTGCTGCGCCCCCCCCCCCGCCCCTCCCAGCTTATTTCTGGTCTTTCGCACTAGGGAGCGAGTCAAGGCCATGTTCTACCACGCCTACGACAGCTATCTGGAAAATGCCTTTCCCTACGACGAGCTGAGACCTCTCACCTGTGATGGGCATGACACCTGGGGCAGGTAGTATGAGCCGAGAGATTAAGGGCGGCCGCAGTGTAGCGAGCAGGGGAGGGTCACTTAGGGGTTGGCTTCAGGGTCTCCTCACAGGTTCTGAAAAGCTCCCAGACGGGTTAGGCTGCCCTCCTCCAAATTCAGACCAGTACCACCAGGGGTCCACCTAGCGTCTCCCAGTGCAAAAAGTCTTAGTGTAGCCTGGCTGTCTGGACCTCTGGACTCAACCTCGCTAGTAACAGGCACCAGCTGCGGGGACGTGGGCAAGTTTCTGGAGTCAGGTGTTGTGGATGGAAGAGTTCACACTTTCTCCATTATCCTTATTGTATGGTTTTTTGTCATTCATACCTCTAATCACTCCCCTTCCTGTCATTCTCATAAATCCCTTGTTTTATTTTCTTTGTAGCACTTCTCTGATACTATAATTTTCACTTGTCTATTGGTTTCATTCTCATTTCTATGAGAATAAAAATACGCAAACTGGAATTCTCTGTCTTGTTCCTTGTGAGTGAAGAATCATTGCATTAGCTGAGGCTGGCATTGATTGAACACTATGCTGAGCATTTTACTGTCATTTTATTTAATTCTCTTAACACTTCTAGGAGTTAGATGCAAATATCTCCAGTTTACATATTTATTAATGATTGCATTCCTTCCTATGTTAAGGACTAGAGAAATTAGGGAAACTCAGAACTTGTTCTGGTTTACAATTTTAGTTAAAAAAAAAAAAAAGAACAAGGGCTAATTCAGACAGTACAAAATCATGTGATAAAGTAAAATGTCTCTCCGACCTTAACCTCCAATCACTGTTACCTTTCCTTTATATTCTTTCAGAAATATATTTTACCATTTTGTAGGGGTGTGTCTTTTTAAAAACCAACTTTTTAAAGTTGTAATTTCCATGCAATACAGTACTCCCATTTAAATTTTATAGTAACCACCATCACAGCCTAGCTATAGAATGTTTCTTTCATCCTAAAATGTTTTCTTGTGTCCTTTTATAGTTCATCCCTCCACCACCACTGGCCCTAACAACAGCTAATCTGCTATCTGTTGATATGTATGCTTTTGAAGTGTAGATGGAAACATACTGTATCAGCTGTTCTGCACCTTGTCTTTTTCATATAACAACATAATTGTGAGTGTCTTTATCAGCACATAGAACTCCTGATAAGCATCTTTTTGATAACTTTATAGTTTTGCACTGTTTGTACCACAGTTTAGTTCATCACTCTTCAACTGGTGGACAGGTTCTTTCTAACCTTGTTCTAAACAGTACTGTTATGAGCAGTCTCAAACAACTCTGTGCTGTGGAGTAAATTCCTACATGTGGAATTGCTGAAAACCCTGGCCTTTTAGCTGCAGTCTTGCACTACTTCCCCATGGCACAGAAAAATTGCAGCGAATATAGATGATGTGTTTAATTACAATTGAGCAATATCAGCCCACACTTCCAGGTGCATTAAGAGAGTCAAACGACCCTAGAGATTTCCCTTGTTTCTCTGTTGTCATGATGAATGGGGAGGGCAGAGGCATCCCAGTGCCTCACATAGTTTTGGGTGCATGGAGAATCTAGGACAGCCATATACCTGGTGTTTTGTTTTCTTACTAAAGAGCTGGGATTTCTATCCTTTTACAGTTTTTCTCTGACTCTCATTGATGCTCTGGACACACTGCTGGTAAGTATCTCATCTATTTCATCCTCTTTGTCATTGCATAACCAGCATCTTTTCTCTTTTAGCAGCTTGACTGTGAATAGAAGTGAATTCCTCTATTAGGTTTCATCTCATGATTGTGAACCATCAGGCTGTGCTTACCAAGCTAAATAGGAGAAAACCAAATATTCCAACTTATCCCGATTCGTTTATTTAGCAAACATTCTAGAGGACCTGTTAGGTACAGGGACTTGTGATAACCTTGTATAACTTTGTGAGGGATACAGAGATTTTGGTACCCTGTTTGTTTTCAGCTTACAACCTAGTAGCCATGTGCGATGATAATAACAAACGAGTTACTATGTTATATATAGGGCTCTTGATAAGCACTTTATAAGTACTGTCTTACCTTGTTTAATCCTTCCAACAACCTCATGAGATAAATACTTTTACTCTTTACACCTGAGAAATCTGCTATTTAGAAAGGTAAAATAACATGGTAGGATACAAAGCTATTAAAAAGTAGAGCTAGTACTTGAACTTAATTCTGTATGACTGCAAGCATTGACAATCTTGTTTAAAAAGGCCACAAGTGCCAGGGATTTAGCTCAGTGGCACCATGCCTGCCTGGCAAGCACAAGGTCCTGAGTTTGATTCCTGGTACCAAGTAAATAAATAAAAGCTACACGCCTGTGATCCCAGGAGTCAGGGGGTTGAGGCAGGAGGATTGCCTCGAGTTTGAGGCCCACCTTGGCTACATAGTGAGTTCAAGGTCAGCCTGAATTCTGTAGTGAGATCCTATTACAAAAAACCAAAAAAGAAAAAAAAAAAAACCCACAAAAAAGAATTTAATAACTTTCCTCCTATTTCATTTTTTTTGGTTCATATACTATTTGTTTGATTAATACAATTCAGCTTATAATTTGTTTTGCTTAATGTTAAGTTGTATGTACTTATCCATTCAAATATTTATTGAGGGCCAGCTGTACATCAGCACAGTGCTGAACTCTGGAGTCATAATGGTGAGTTTAAACAGACATGGCCACTGGTTGCCTGGAGTGTGTGGTGTTAGCAAGGGAAACAAAGGGTGAAAGAATAACCTTGAAGAATATATAATTACAAATTAAGGTGAGTGCGCTAAAGGAAAGGAACATAATTCTGTGAATGGCCATAACAAAAGAATCTGTCTTTTTTTTTTTTTTGGTACCGGGAATCGAACTTGGGACCTTGCGCTTGCAAGGCAGGCGCCGGAACCACTGAGCTAAATCCCCAGCCCCAAAAGAATCTGTCTTATGCTGAAGAGATTGGGAGAACTTCCCTGAAGCCATGAAATGACACTTGAGTCACTTGAGTCAGGTCTGAAGGAGAAGCATGTAGTGACAGGAAAGTGTGGAAGGAGAGAAGGAACAACTAGTGCAAATACTTTATGGCAGGAGAGAGCATGGCAGGTGCAGCGAATTGAAGGAAGGCTAGCTGGGGAGTGGGGAAGGAAAAGGAGGAAATAAAGTGAATCTGGAGGGACAGAGAGGAACCAGATGATGCAAGCTCTTCACTGTGTCAAGGGTTTTGATCTTTAACTCAAGAGCAAGGGAAAGCTACTGGAATTTCCTTAAGCAGAAGGCAGGAAATGATGAGACTTCTGTTTTGAGGTCACCATTGCAATATGAAGAAAGATTTGTATAATCATTGAAGAAACATTTGTCAAGTAATTGCTTTGTGAGCTGTACTTGGTAGCCTGGGTAAATTCAGAAGTGAATGAGGCCTCTGGCTGTGCGAAAATTCTTTTTTTCCTTTTTCAAAGATTTTCTTAATATGGAAAGAAATAGATGGGGTGGGACTAGTTCTACTTACATACCACTCATTTAGGAAACTGTGTGGAAAGAATTATGCCTTTTCCAGTAATTCCAGGACCTGACTTCACTGATCTGGCTTGAGTTTACACCTGAACCAGTCACTTGGTCAAAGGATATGGTACTGTGGCTGGTCCGAGCCAGGTGCCCATGCTATAGCTGGGGACATGGCATTAGTCTCTCCTGAGCCGCAGGAGTGACTGTAGAAGGGCAACTCTTCAAAGGAAAATTGGGATGCTGTTATCAGAGTAAAAGATATCAGGAGTGCACTTAGCTGATGGTTTAAAGAAAGAGGGTTTATTTCCTCAAGAAAATCTGAAGGTAATTTCTAGCATTGGGGAAACTGTGCAACTATGCTGTGAGACCCTGCTCTTTGTCCTTTTCTATTCTACTGTGAGTGTGCTGGCTTTCATGCTCATGCTTAGTAGTACCTCATGGTGGAACATAGTTGCCACAGCTCTGGAAATCAAATCTGCTTTCAAGGCAGGCAGAGGCAGAGTGAAAGCCATGCCAGCCACGTTTGTTAAATTGGGAAAACAAGCTTTTCCAAAGGTGTCCCTGGTAGACTCTGTAAGAGTCAGAAGTGACTGAGTAACACAATCACTTAGCAGCAAAGGAGGCTGAGAAAGCAAGCATTTGGGTAAAGAAGGTTGGAAGCCAATCTGTAATGTTTTCTACAAGATCAAATGTGACGAGAGAGGGTTTAAAAACAACTGGTATCCACTGTATAAGATTTCCTTATGGGGTTTACATTCTTTATAACATATCCATTTAAATGGGTGCCTAAGGCAGGCATTTAAATGGGTACCTAACCCTAGCGATGCATGCTTGTAATCTCAGCACTCAGGAGGCTGAAGCAGGAGGATTTACCATGAGTTTGAGGCCAGCCTGGCCTATGGAATGAGTTCAAGGCCAACCTGAACAACACAGTGAAGAGACCCTTTTCCAAAAAAAAAAAAAAAAAAAAGGTCCCCAATAACTGTTGAATTGATGCTGGGTTTCTGGGCGATTTCTGGTCTCAGTGTTGTTTCCCTGTGACCAGACTTAAGATAGAAACTGGAGGTTTTAATTGAATGAGTGAGGGCCATACCAGTACAGCATCCCAAAGTCTGAATCCAGCATATTCTGTACCTCATGGTCAGGTCTCTTTCCAGATTTTAGGGAATGTCTCCGAATTCCAAAGAGTGGTTGAAGTGCTTCAGGACAACGTGGACTTTGATATTGACGTGAATGCCTCTGTGTTTGAAACCAACATTCGAGGTGAGACCTGCCTACTACCAGGACCTTTGGAAGAGAAGAGAGTGTAGAGTTGCTGCTGTGAAATCTAAAAGATGATAAATAGGATCTTTAGGACCCACCCTACCAGGGCACTTGGCCAAAGCCGGTGATTGACAGAGTGCTTCTGTCCTCCTGGGGTTCTGGTGGAGAGGAGGGCAATCTCAGGATCTGTCATCAGTTTTAGGCATTCAAGTGAAAGCAACAGAGAAAATACTGGAAAGGAATAGACCAGAATTGCATACATAGTAGTGATTTGGTGCTGTGAACAAGAATGCTGAAATCCCTGCCTTCTTGGAGCTTATTTATTTTCTGTCCAATAGAACTTTTTGCTAGGATGGGAATGTTTTATACCTGTGTTATCCAGTAATGGTAGCCATTAACCACATGGGCTTTGAGCATTTGGTATGTGTCTATTGCAGCTGAGGAACTGAACTTTTAATTTCATTTAGTTTTAATGAATTTAAATTTAAATGTCAAATAAATAAATTAGGAATTGAAAAACATAAATTTAAATGTCACATAGTGATTATCATATTGGACAGTGCATGTCAAGGGTGTTAATTTTATGCCTGCCCATAAAAATGATGTGGGACTTTTTAAAGTGTTCACACGCCTGGGCTTTACCCTCATGGCAATCTCTGGGTTGAGTCTTAGAATCGGTATTTTTAGCAGGCTCTGGTGGTTCTTATGAGGCTCCCATAGCCTTTACTCGGTGACCCTCTAGACCACTAGCTTGCAGCTGTCGCCTCTGGAAGGCAGAGTTCTGCTTCCCCTTGTTTCGTATGTTCTGGCCTGAAACTTTGTCCTAGATATATGATACATAAAAATTTAAAAAGAAAGTGGAGAGCAAGCATGGTGTAGAATCCTGGGTTAGCTGAGTTTGAGGCTGTGTGCATTGTTGCGTCTCACAACTTCTTTTTCTTTTTCTCTTTTTATGGCATAGGAAATCAAACCCAGGACTCATGCATGCCATGCAGGTGCTCTATCACGGGGCTACACCCCCAGCCCTCCCTCTCCCAACTTCTGAGCCCAGTTTACCATCTATAAATGAAGGTTATCATTATACCTTCATTTCTGATATGAACATAATTATATGATTATTTTCTCTTAGCACTTTGAAGAAATTTTTCCATTGTCTTCTGGTTTCATGGTTGTTGTTAAGAGGTAATCTGTCAAAGTTACTTCTTTGTAGTTAATCTTTTTATCCCTCTGGGTGCCCCCTCTATAAAACTTTTTATTATGAAAATGTTAGCCTATATATAAGTAGAGAAAATAGTACAATGAACTAAACATAGCCACTACCCAGCTTTAACAATCATTACATGAACTCTGGCTGCTTTTATGATTTTTATTTCTCTGATGTTCTGCAATGTTACTGTGATGTATATAAATAGAGGATTCTTTTTTTTTTTAATCTTGTTTGAGAGTCTTGGGTTTGAGAATTGCTGTCATTTCTTTGAGAAAGTTCTTAAGTATTTTCTTTCAAATATTTCCTCTTACCCACTTTCTCCTTCTTTTTTAAAAATTCCAACTAGATATATGTTTCACCTTCTCACTGTATCCTCCAAGTCCCTGCTGTGTTTTTCAAGGAAATTTTGTCTTTTTGTGTTGCATTTTTCGTAACTTTTTTGGGACTGTCTTCAAGTCTAATATCTATTCTGCTATGTCTTACCTGCTGTTACATATATTCATGCTGTTTTTAATTTGTTATTTCTTTATTTTTAGAAACTGTTTAGTCCTTTTATAAATATTCTTGGTAATTTTTATTATTTCTTCATACTTACTCATATATTCCAACCCCCTTTTTATTTCTTTAAGCATATGACACTTATTTTCTATTCTGTCTGATAATTCTACTATCTGAATTGTTGGTAGGTCTTATTTCCTGTCTTTTTTGTTGGCTGTTACTCAGAATGCTTTGTTTCCATGTATGTTTTGTATCTTTTTATATTTTTTTATTGTACATTCATTTCCTAGGCTTTCTTTTTTTAATTTTTTTTTGGGGGGGGGTACTGGGAATCAAACTCAGGACCTTGCACTTGCGAGGCAGGCGTGGCACCACTGAGCTAAATCCCCAGCCCCCCTGGGCTTTCTGTATAGGATTCTTTGAGGCCTAGGTGGAACATAGGTTCTTCCAGATACAGTTTTTTTTAAGGTTTCTGCAATATGACTGGAGGTACTACCTACCAAAACCTACTTTATGCTAAACATTTGAGGTTTCCTAGACATTCCAGTTGGTATAAATTCAGACTGTAAAGGTTTGTGAGTAATAGATTATAGTTACTGATTCTCTGGTAGTATTGATTCTCTGGGCGCCAAGATTAGAGGCATCTAGTTTTCCTTTGTGCACCAGGTGAGGTGTGCAGGGTCTATTTTTAATTCCCCCTTACACAGAGTACGTCACCCTTTAATGTCTGTACTTAATGCAGGGATCTTGATCAGATACCCCCTTTGGCCATGTCCTACCTCTGTCTTCTGTTGCCCTTCTGCCAGGAGGAGGGGGAAATTGAAAGTCAGAGTCAGTCCTTAATTTGTAGTCAGGAGGTCATTTCTGACATCTAATGATATTTCCAGATACAAACCCTTTGTTTGTTTGTTTGTTTGTTTTGCTTTTTGGGTACTGGGAATCAAACTTGGGACCTTGCACTTTTGAGGCAGGTGGCAGAACCACTGAGTTAAATCCCCAGCCCCCCTTTGTCTGTTTTTATAAGTCCTAAGTATTGCATAATCACTTAAAATAGATAAATTAGTGTGAAGTAATAGCCACTCTTTTCATTCCCCCAGGTGTGACAGGTGAGGGGAGAAAGAGTGATAAAGTAGAAGGAATATGGGCTTTGGAATCAGATAGATGTGGCCCTCCTACCAACTAGATAGGTAGCCCATGGCAGGTCACTTTGCCTCTCTGAATCTTTTTTGTTTTTTGAGACAAAGTCTTGCTCGAAATCTCGGCAATCCTCCTGCCTCAGCCTCCTGAGTGCTGGGATCACAGGCGTGCGCCACCACACCCCATTGCTTTTCTGAATCTTAATATTTTCATCTAAAGAGGGGAAAGCAGTACCTAGTGCTGTATACACAGTATGGACTTCAAAAGGTGGCCATTGTTTGTGTGACCTACCAAGAGGAAAAGCTTTGTTTCATGTATTGCCTCCTCCCCATTTTCTCCCTCTTTTTTTTATATGCTACAAATATGTGGGATTAAGGGATGGCTCTTTCACTAGGGGTCTTCAGCCGCTTCCCAGGGTGCCATCCCAACAGTGCTTAGGGTTAATTTCCATAAGGGAAAGACTGGTCCTTGGGACTGTAACCACTTGCATTTTGTGTCTTCTGCAGTGGTAGGAGGACTCCTTTCTGCTCACTTGTTGTCAAAGAAGGCTGGGGTGGAAGTGGAGGCGGGATGGCCCTGTTCCGGACCTCTCCTGAGGATGGCTGAGGAGGCAGCCCGAAAACTTCTACCAGGTAAAATCCATACAGAGCTGGGGGAGACATGAAATGGAGTGTCCTGCTTCCCTCGATGGAGCCAAGAGTGATCATGCTGAATCATTGATGTTTTGTCTCCTAAGTACCAAGTAATGATCATAGAAATCAGGAGAGTCCTGGGCATTTTAAGGGCTTGCTAGGGCACTGACCCAGAATGGCTGACCTGACCTGATTACTGTTTGTGGGCATGAGCTGAAGGCCAGCCTAGGGGATGGATGATCCTTGTTCTTATTTTGATTGAGCTCTTTTGCTTCCTCTTAGGCCCTCATACTGCTTAAATAACAAGGCCCCCGGGCAGCGCCTTGGTCTGAGTATCAGAAGCCGAAAGTTCTAGGCTTGGTTGTCCCAGCTGCATCTTGACCAAGCCACGCTCCCTTTCCATGGTTCAGTTTCCCTGTCTATCAAATGAGAATCATAATTTCTTCTCTCTTACAACTTTCGTTTTGGGGAGGCTGAAATGAGGTTGGGAGAAAGTGCTTAGAGAACTTCAAACTATTGAAGCAAAGGGGATTTGTTTGGTGGCTAAGCAGCATCCAGGGCTATAGGCCAAGTCTCACTGTTTTTGTCCAGTGGGGCAGCCACGCCAGGCTCAGTAGTGTCAGCTGGACACTGTGTTCCTTTCAGGGTGTGGTAGAGGTCCGGGGGCTGCTCACACCCAAACACATCACAGTATGTTTTCCACCAGCTCTTCAGCCATCTTCTGTATTTATCCCCTGTGTGCAGCCCTTGCCTCTCACCCTTGGGGAGAGCTGAGGTGAGCAGGTTTGCTGGCTTCAGGTCTCACTCATGGCCCATGGCTCACGGCCTAAGTGTCTCCTAGCAAACATCATGTCCTGTGTGAGTCATTCCTACAGGAAGCTGCCTTTTTGCTCCTTTTTTTTTTAAATTACAAAAAAATTTTATTGAGAAATATACATATTCAAAAGTATGTATTGAGTTATTATAAAGTAAGTGCCAGTATACCTATCCTTTGGGTAGAGGAGGGGGATTTTGTCACTCTCCTTTTTAATACTTCTTGCCTTTTCTAAAATATTTGTTTGAGCCCTCCTTGGTTGTGACTTACATTTTCCTTGCTTGCCACTCATGCCTGACAGATAGCAAGTGTCTTGTTGATAACAAAGTTGCTGGACTCTGTAGCTTTCGGACGTTTTGACAGCTTTGTTCACAGTTCAGTGACGCATAGACTCCTCTGCAGTTGTTTAACCTTTTGGTTTAACCTTTTGGCCAAGAGAGGAAATCTCTGCCTCAGGCTGGTGGCTGAGTTCTTGAATCAGAAGGCACAGGGTGTGGTGGGCAGGGCACTGGACTGGGATTTGGGCGAGGGTGAGAGGTCTGGGCAGGCATTCCCAGCCCAGCACGGTTTGACTCTTGTATGACCTTTGGCTGAATCACTTTATAGCCATGATTTTCCTAGCTTATAAATTAGGGGTCATACATTATCAGTGTTTTAAGGGTTTATATCCTTTTTTCTTTCTTTTAAAAATAATTTTGCCCTTAAACTCCTTATCTGAAACAGGGATCTCAAATGGCTTCTCTGAAAGTAAGTATGATCTGCTGATCTGTTTCTTTGGATCAGAATAGTATTTTAAGAAGTCTGTGAATGGCTGAGTTTAATGGCATACACCTATAATCCCAGCTACTTGGGAGGCTGAGGCCAGAGGATCACAAGTTTAAGTCCAGCCTGGGCAATTTAGTGAGACCCTGTCTCAAAATAAAATTTAAATAAGAGCCAGGGATGTAGCTCAGTGACAGAGTGCTTAACTAGCATACATGAGGCCCTGTGTTCCATCCCCAGTTTGGCAATTAGCTTCTAGTGGGGCATATTCTAGTCTGTGAGCCACAAGCCCCACTACTTCTGTAGTTTAAGCTTTCCTTGCTTCACACTGTTACCTACCTGCCCTCAGAAAGCATAGTGTAAAAAAAATAAAAGTAGAGCCACTCTAGCTGAGATGAGCTATGTGGCACTGACAACCTGAAGAACACTTCTCTCCATGTCCCCACATTACCTATAGGAGCCCTTGGGTCAGGCAGAACAGTGTTTGACAGCATCAGGGTTAGGTGGCGGCTAAGGGCCCTCCCGTTATGACATTTATCCTTCTCTGGCTCAGACTCGAGCAGATCACCCAAAAAAAGAAGGACATGCTGGCCAAGGTCTCAAGCTTTGGGGTTGTATCAAAACCCTCCCTACCCCCTGCTTCTATCTGGAGTGATACATTTTTAATTGTTTAGCCTTTCAGACCCCCACTGGGATGCCCTATGGAACGGTGAACCTGCTTCATGGTGTGAACCCAGGGGAGACCCCTGTCACCTGTACGGCAGGGATTGGGACCTTCATTGTGGAATTTGCCACCTTGAGCAGCCTCACTGGAGACCCTGTGTTTGAAGACGTGGCCAGAGTGGCCCTGATGCGCCTGTGGGAGAGCCGGTCAGATATCGGGCTGGTAGGTGGGCCACTGCCCTTCCTGCATGAGTCAAGTCTGCCAGCCTGGGCACCGCTTAGGAGGCCCAGGGCTCTGAGCAACAGGTTACAGTTAAGCCAAGGGAAACTTAGGGCAACCTCAGTAGCCCGGGAGTTGGGCCCAGGACACTAAAAGTAGGCTGAGCCCCAATTCATGTTTTGGCACAGAAGCAAAGAGAGCCTGAGAGCCCATCCTCCAGCAGGAGCAGGGGTTGTGTTGAGCTTTGAGCCTTGTTGAACTCTGATTTCTAGGGAACGATCATGTGCTTCGTGCCCCTGAAGCTCATTAGCCCACCTGGCCCTCGCTTTTAGTCTTTCTGCATTGGTAAGACGCTTTCGTTGAGTATCAGTGCTGAGAGGTGTCTTGGCTAATTAGGGGATTCTTACACATGATAGTCTTTTTTTCTTTTTTTGAAAGTTGCAGTCAGGGCCGGGGATTTAGCTCAGTGGCTCTGGTGCCTGCCTCGCAAGCACAAGGTCCCGAGTTCAAGCCCCAGTGCAAAAAAAAAAAAAAAAAGAAAGTTGCAATAAACATGAGCAGAATAGTTTATGAAACAGCAGTAAAATCTATTTATAGCTAGCTATGCGGTGTGGTGGTACACACAACTTAGCAACTTAGTGAGCTCTGTCTCAAAAAAAAATTTAAAAAGAGCTATGGATGTATCTTATTGTGTAAGCCCTGGGTTCAGTCCCTGATAACACACATATGCACACACATGTGTGCACACACATACATGCAGACACATGCACAAACACACATAATCTATTTAACATTACATAACATTTCCCAAACTTATTTGACCCAAGAGCTTCCTTTTCTCTCCAGTGCCTATTAACACATGGAAACTTTAGATGATCTCTAAGGTGGGTTTCTGCTCCTAAACAGGATAATCCAGTGAAACTAACAGTAACAGGGCTGAGACTATTCAGGAAATATCACGGGATTTAGTCAGAACTAGATTCAAGCCTTGGCCTTGCTGTATCAAAACTGTATGGCCCTTGGCAAATTGCCTAACCTCTCTGGTTCTCAATTACTTCAGTAATGTTAATATATGAGTACCTCCTTTGCTTAGTCATTATGACTTCTTAAAACTGTTTGAAAGTGATCCATGTATAGGCACATTTTATGCAGAGTCTGGTGCTAAGTCAGCTTGAAAAGTGGGGCATGTGTGAGGAATCTTTACAAATCCCTTTAGAAGGTACTTCTCTAGACACCTGTAGTAACTCCCTTAGTCCAACCCAAGCATTTTTTCCTCCAACCTGGAACTGTAGTGGACTTTGTTGGTGCCCAGCCCACATCCTCTTGATCTTTTCTATTTTTGTGCACACTGGCCTGTCTGCCAACTGCCGTCACCCATGCCCCTTTGCCTGCGAGCCTTCTCTGTGCTTGAAGCCTGCTCTGATTGCATTTGGCTGGAAAGACAGGAACTTAATGTTACCCATGAGCAATTCCCAACCAGGGACTGATACCGATAGGAGTTTGTAGATGCACATTCCATCCCCCTGCACCCTCCCATGTCCCACCTTAGGGAAAATCACTCTGTACTGAGTCCTCAGGCTCCCAGCAGGACTCAACTCCAGTGCCTGTGGCAGAAACTTGCTCAATCCCTCACCATGTATGGGCTGCCTTTCCTGCCTTGTCTTACTTGCTCCTTCCTCCTCTACTGATATTTCCAGAGACTCAGCTTCCACATCAGCTACTTTCAGTCTTCCTTGCTGGGGTCTGCCCCTGGGGAACCCAAACTAACCCAGAACTGTTAGCTATTTCTTTTGATTGAGTACTAGATGAAGTTATCAGTTTTTAGGAATGACTCAAGCTGTATAAAAACCATATCTCTTTCGTTAAGTCTTTTAATATCTATTTTAAAAAGACCTTATAGTCATGTGGTTCAAAAGTCAAAAGATTAAAAAAAATACCCAGTGACATTGGTGAAGTCCCCTTGGACCCTGTCCCCCAGCTATCCAGTTCCTTTCTTTAGAAACACACTCTATCAGCTTCTTGGGTGTCCCTCTGGAGTCAGTTTCTGGAAATACAGGAAGTTTGTCTTTAGACACTGGAATCACAAGCTGAGCGCTCCAAAGTCAGATTGTGGGAATAGCAAGTTCTTGTCTCTCATCTCACACTTACTCTAGGCAGGGTGTAAACACTCCAAGTCATTTTTCTTCCTCATTTTTGCACAGCATGTATAATTAAATCCTCATAAATGTGCATGAGAAGCATCTCCACTGTACAGATGTGCAGGAAGGCTGCCCTTGAGCCGCCTTCCCCATAGCCTGCATGTCTCCAAGAAGCACTTGGGTGCCTGTCTTGCATCCCACTGGGAAGTCAGGGGATGTTGGCAAGAGGGTGGGAGTTGATCATTTTTTGGCCTTGATACTACATCTCTCTCCCAGGTTGGCAACCACATCGATGTGCTCACTGGCAAGTGGGTGGCCCAGGATTCGGGCATTGGGGCTGGTGTTGATTCCTACTTTGAGTACCTGGTGAAAGGAGCCATCCTGCTTCAGGACAAGAAGCTCATGGCTATGTTCCTAGGTAAAAAGGGCAGGGTAAGGGGGCGTTTTATGACTTCCTAGTTTTTTTATTTTGTTTTTGTTTATTTGAGACAGGGTCTCACTACGTAGTTCAGGCTAGTCTTGAACTCACTATGTACCCCAGGATAGCCTTGAACTTGTAATGATCCTTCTGCCTCAGCAGAAGTGCTAGGATTACTGGCATGTGCCACACACCTGCCTGACTTCCTTTTGATGCGTGGTTTGTTTGTAAACTTTTGAGTTGCTCCCAGATGCATGCAGAATCAATTTGGAATATCTGAGTCTGCATCCTGTGCCGCTTGGACTCACATGGCCCATTTGATGCCCACTGTACCTTATTCCCTCCTACAAGAACCACCTGAGCCATGCTGTGTTCTCTGCTCCTGGTCTAGATTTCTTATCTCCTGGCCATTGCACATGGTATTTCCTTTGTCTGGAATATCTTCTTTCCTGTCTTTTTGTGTCCAAGTTCTATTTACCCTTCAATGTCCTGCTTAAATATCACCTTACCCAGGAAATAGTGTGATCCTCTCTTAGAATTTAGGACCTTCAACACCTTTCCTGCAGTCAGATATCGTTAGCAACTCCACAATTCGTTGCAGAATCTATGCCTTAGTCATTTTCATATTTCTCCAGTCCTTTGTATGAGGTAAATAATGGGTGAATGCCTGTTGAATAAATACGTTTACCCTATAGGCCCTCACACACCAGTAATAATGATCTTGGGAACTGTTGAACTGCTAGTATAATTATTACAGCTACTATTCATTTAGTCAAATATTTATTGCATGCCATAAGCACTATGCCAAGGCTCTGAATATGGACTGATTCATTTAATCCTTATAACACTTTTTGAGATTATCCTATATATTTGTATGTGTATCTTGTGCTTTGTTCATTCAGATAATTGTGCATATTTATTATGCACTTTGATAGTGTTGGGAATTTTTTTTTTTTTGAGACAAGGTCTCACTATGCAGCCCAGGCTGGCCTCCTCCTGCCTCAGCTTCCTGAGTGCTAGGCTTACAGGTATGCGCCACCACGCCCTGCTGTGTTGGGAATTTTGCAATGAAAACAAAATCTCAGGTCTCACAGTTTATAATACAGGGAAGAGGAATATGTTCAAGTTCCCAGTGGAAGATCAGCTCCATATGGGCTGGACTTTGTCTTGTTGTTCACTGAGCTCACTGAATGAATAGATCCACTGAACAATCCCCCTAGGTCCATAACATTATTTTCCCAATTTAACAGATAATAAGGCTTAAGAGGGAAAAGTTTGCCCAAGGTCACATCTCGCACACTATAAAGCCAAAGCTGTAATGTGAGCCTAGAAATTTGACTCCAGAACCTGTGATCCTTTCTAGTCTGCTTGCTGTATTGCATACTAGGCCACTCTGAAGCTAGACCATCATCTGATCTTCCAAAAGGGTAAGCCCATGCTTTGTTGTCAAGGCTGCCTTTTGTCTCACTAATCACTCACATGTCCATTATCCCATTTTCCATGATGCAGAGTTTAACAAAGCCATTCGGAATTATACACGCTTCGGTGACTGGTACCTGTGGGTGCAGATGTACAAGGGGACTGTGTCCATGCCGGTCTTCCAGTCTTTGGAAGCCTATTGGCCTGGTCTTCAGGTAGGAACAATTAAAGAGGGTGGTCATTTTCCTATGAAGTGGCAAAGCAAGCTTATTCTGATGTATAAGTCAAGTAAGTTATGTTCCGTTACTTGAGTACTCTGGGGGTAGAAGAGAGACCTAGAGTGAATTAGGTAGATCCATGATTTTGCCAAGCCAGATTTTCCGAGGTATGTATTAAGGTGTCAGGCACTGAGCATCCAGTTTGTGGAGGAATGTTGTGCCACTTACGGTTCCGTACATGGCATCTTTCCAGGCAAGGCAGGAATGGCTGCTTGCATTTATGTTGAGATGGCTCTTACAGTGTTCCGCAGGTGGGACTAGAACTTCTGGGCTTAAGTGGTCCTCCGGTCCTGAGTAGCTGGGACTGCAGGCTCATGCCACTACACTCAGTCAAGTTTCCTCCTTGGCTATAAACTTTTGTGACCACCACCAGCATTATTTTCCCTGACACAGTCTGACAGAGTCACAGCTGGAAGGGACCTGAGAGCCCATCTAAGCTACTCCCTCAGTGTGCCAAGTATTTTACGTACTAAAATGTTTTGTAATGTAAATGGGTTTTAAAATTGGTGAGGAGGGCAGGGATTTAGCTGAGTGGTGCCATGCCTGCCTCGCAAACACAAGGTCCTGAGTTTAATTCCCAGTACAAAAAAATTTTGGGGGGCTGGGGATTTAGCTCAGTGGTTTTGCTGCCTGCTGCGCAAGCACAAGGACCTGAGTTCGATCCCTGGTACCAAAAAAAAAAAAAAAGTTTTTTTGTTTTAACAAAAGGTAATAATGTGGTGG